GTCACTCGACGTGTTGTCCAACTCGGCTTTGCCTCGTTGGACAATTTTCACGTCGCGTGCCTAAAAGACGCTCATTTCGTAACTTATTGTATAAATAGCTATTTCGGACTTTTAGTCTAGTCGGGGGTCGGTCAACTAGTTCCTCTTTTACGAAATCTTTTTCGACTCGCTGGGTTCGGTCCCCACTTTGGTGGTAAAGTAGTAGGGCGGCTGGGCGACGCGGACGCCTGTTGGGGCATAGAGCTTGTCCATCATGTGTTTGGCCTAGAGGGAGTTCGCAATGTGTTTGCGTGCGGTGGGTAAACGGAAAATTTCTGTAACTTCTTTACACTCGAAACATTTAAGGTTATTTTCGACCTACCTGTAACTCAGCTCTGAAGTGTCCTAGAAAACTGAAATTTTGCACAGTCGTAGATTTTTGTAGACCTAATACTGAAATTAAATTTCATCGATTTCCATCAACCAACAAAAAAGTTACATGACCTTAAAAAAATGCCAATTTTGTCACTCACTCATGTATAGATCATCAAAATTCTAAGGTACTTCCAAACATGCTAGAAGACTGAAATTTGGCATACTGATATGAATTATGGCAGAACTCATGGAAAAAAACAAAAACCTTGAAAATTTGACCACCCTTCACAGCTATCGTTAAACACAAGAGTCTGGGGAACAGACAGACGGAGCTTCACCGTAATTCGTGATAAGGGTTAGTCTTTGTATGTTGATATTTTAAACGAAGTTAGAGCTAATCTAAACTAACCTGCACAGAAAAAAAAATAACACCATTTGTACGTATAATAGCTTCAAGAAATGAATCTCAAAAAGAATTACACCAATACCAGAACGTAGGTACCTACTGGCCCACTTTCGATCAGTTAAGCATAGCCTGTGCGGGAATTTCTTTCATTTCTTCCGGAATTTGATTATCGTTCTCTTTGATTTCCTCCTTATTGCCATGATAAGAGTTTGACAAAATGACAATGACGGAGTCTAAAGCCTGGTAACCCGCGCTCTCGGAGAATCACACACCGGCACGAAATTTCCTCTAATTATTGTACAACTACGTCAACAACCAACATTATTCTTCTGGGAATTTGTAATTAAAGGTGCATCTTCGAATTGACTCGAAGCATTATGTCTTTGACTAAGTATATAGTAATTTTCAAGTAATATTTAGTTGCGCCTAGAAAACTAGTATGTAATAAGTAAAAAAGTGACTGGGGACTATGAGCTCAAAAGATTTCTTGTCTACATACGTGCACTCTTTCGGCTGGCTTAAATATATCAGTTTTGGAGACATTTAAAATTTGTGATTTCTGCAGAAGAATTCAGGGGCTTTCTAATTGTTATAAATCTTTATTTAACAGAATTGGACATAACTTCAATTCCTAATCATTAAACTGAATCTAGGTACCTAGAGTCATTGGAGAAATGCTGTTTTAACTACCTACTTTGAAAGGATATTTGTTATATCTTTTTTTTTTTTTTAAATAACTATTAGATACGACAATACGACTAAATTTTAACACAAAACGTAATATCAACATTAACTAGGTATGTAAACTTAAACTACAACAGTCAAAATTTCAAAAAAAAAAAAAACTGAACAATAATAATTAATCTCTTTCTTTTTGGCCTCTGATGCGATGGGCCAACTGTATATCTTTAGGTTTGATTGTTATCCTTTTGGCATGCTTGGCGCATAAGTTTGCGTCCTCGAATAATCCAACCAAATAGGATTCACTCGCTTCCTGCAATTAAAATATAATTCATCTTATGACTAAATATTGCACAGCGAGCAAAATTTAACCTGCAAAGCGCCAATAGCAGCAGCCTGGAAACAAATAACTTTCTTCAAATCTTGTGCGACTTCTCGCACGAAGCGTTGAAAAGGCAGCTTACCGATGAGAAACTCTGTGGAGTTTTGGTAGGGCCGTAGTTCTCTAAGAGCGCCAACATCGGGGCGGAATGTGCGGAATTTTTTCACGTCTCCTACGACCAATTTCTCATTTTTATCCGCTTTCTTAGCGGGCTGTTTTTGGGCAACTTTTCCTCCCGTTGATTTACGAGCAGTTTGCTTGGTACGCACCATGATGAATTAGACCTAGAAATAAAGTTTTCTTGCTAGTATTAACTGATCGTGCATTAGTAAAATACCGGAAAGTCTTTTCATCACTGCAATCGCGTGCGGAAAAGTAATACTTTCCGCACTAATTGGGAAATGTACTATTTCTAGGAGTGAAATAACTATACCTACTTTTTTTTTAGTTATCTTTATTACAACAACAACTCAATAAACCTTTTCTACCTACAGTAGCGACAATAGAGATCTCGCCGCCATATTTTTGCTTATTTTGAATAGGAATATTACATAATATGATTTTAAAGAACCAATCAAAAATAGGACTGCAATTAATTGTCGCCACTGTGGTTAATTGAGTCTCTGTATATACAGGGTGGCCTACTTATTTTATCTTAACTCGGTATATGAAAATTTAGATATTTTATGGCAAAAAGTTTTTTATAAAAGTTGTAAAGTTTAAATCATAATTTGTTTTTTCGTATGTACGCTTATACAGGAGGTGTCAAAAAAGTGAGACACATCAGATTTATTTTTCTTTAATATGTAGAACATCCTGTGTATTTTAATATTTTTTGATATAGCTCTTTTAAAAACAAATATAATAGTTATTTGTGCAACCAGTTGAGAAAAGCACTACCTATTTTTTGTACCTAACGAGCAGAAAGCGAGTTACGAAGAATAGTGGTTCCCAACGTGTTTCACACAATATTTTTTTTCTAATTTCGTATAAGTATTGTCGCGGCTTTGGGTTGCCTGCTGACAAAAATCTTGGGTTCGTTGTTCGTTTCGTTTATTCCAAAAATCAAAGTCCAATTAGCACAGCAATTAGCACTTAACAAAACACTCTGACACTAATTACTTTAATAACAAACTCAACAATTAAACTCTTTACAATCACTATTTAAATCGTATCACAGTCGAACTGAAACTTACTTACAAGTCCTTATATACAGTGCGTCCCAGATTCGCTTCTCTATATAGGGATCTCGACTCCTATTATACCTACGGCAAAGGTTAAATGGGGAGAGTTCTAGAGGAAGCTAAGTGCATTCGATAATCGGCTTCAGATTCACGATCGCTCAATTATGACATTATTCAGACACTTTTTTAAGACCAATGAGATAGCGTGCATGACAGGTCTCAATCGTCTTTTGTTATCCCACAACCCGCCTCAACTTTCATTTGATGTGTCACAAGTGGATAAAAGATTTGAGTATCATCGACAAATCAAATTTCGTTAAGTTGTCTGGCCAACGATTCTGAAACTAACGGGGCATTGGTAAGGGAAATCCAGTTGTAGAAAAATACCTACCCAGCTGCGTGCGGAACTTTTTGGAAGTATAATATCGTACAGGAAAATCGACAATAACCAAACCATCGCCACTGGATATTTCAAAGCAATTCGATATTTCAAGATGCAAGGATAAAGTTACGGGAACTCTGGCCAGCCAATAGCGAGACGTAAGCCGCATGGCAACCGCATGGTTCCGTGGCAACGGCGATCGTGCCAAAAACTCCACCAATCACGTTCATCCAGGCCGAATGCTTGCCAAATTGACAAATGCTGATGGTACGTCTAGGAAATGTTTACTTTTGATAATAGATAAAATTAGATGTTTTTGTTTAGGATAAAATAATTCATAGTGTCAAAGTTGTCTATTAATAATAGTAAGTTCTCTTCCATTAACATCATAAACCTGGAGACACAAATTGTCGAAACCTGTTGAAAATGGCCAGTATTCCTTATTCAAATGAAGAAAGGTTTGACTTGTTAGCGCTGTAATTGCAGTCACTCAGAAACGCCGACATTACCTCAGCAAGGTATTTGGAGATGTACCCCGAACGAGGGCGGCCTCATAAAACGTAATTCACAGAAATCGTAGTTAATTTAATTAACCATGTGGCCTTCGAAAAACCTAGAAGCGGATAAAATATTGATAATGGAAATCGCGACAGAAACATTTCACTAGCTGTCAACGAAAATCCTAGTGCATCAGTAAGAACTGTAGAACGTGAAATTGGTGTGCCAAAATCAACGGTACAGAGAGTAAAAAAGTTTTTTCCAAGTTATAATGCCGTGGTCTAGTAATACTCATTCCGTCTACTGCTGCGGTAGTCATTTTCAAAGTGTTCTCATCCGTGTTCCTCCGATGACTGCCATCTTGAAATATCGACTTACATTGAAATATCTAATGGCGGTGATTTAGTCTGTGGATTTTCGTGTACGATATACATCCAAAAAGTTCCGCACGCACCTGGGTAGGTATTTTATGGATGAAATCAGCCGACATCCATTTTTTTTACAACTTGATTTCTCTTACTCCGTAGCTTCATAACCGTTGACCAGACATTAACTTTACGAAGTGTAAGTTTGCGATGACACTCAAATCTTTTATCCACTTGTGACACATCACTACACTGGAAATTCTATGCTTTTTCCAAAAATCGAAAAATTCAATATGGCGGCCATAAGAAAAATGAAAGTTGAGGCGGGTTGTGGGATAACAAAAGACGATTGAGACCTGTCATGCACGCTATCTCATTGGTCTTAAAAAAGTGTCTGAATAATGTCATAATTGAGCGATCGTGAATCTGAAGCCGATTATCGAATGCACTTAGCTTCCTCTAGAATTCTCCCCATTTAACCTTTGCCGTGGGTATAATAGGAGTCGAGATCCCTATATAGAGAAGCGAATCTGGGACGCACTGTATATAAGGACTTGTAAGTAAGTTTCAGTTCGACTGTGATACGATTTAAATAGTGATTGTAAAGAGTATAGTACATTTCCCAACTAGTGCGGAAAGTATTACTTTTCCGCACGCGATTGCAGTGATGAAAAGACTTTCCGGTATTTTACTAATGCACGATCAGTTAATACTAGCAAGAAAACTTTATTTCTAGGTCTAATTCATCATGGTGCGTACCAAGCAAACTGCTCGTAAATCAACGGGAGGAAAAGTTGCCCAAAAACAGGCCGCTAAGAAAGCGGATAAAAATGAGAAATTGGTCGTAGGAGGCGTGAAAAAATTCCGCACATTCCGCCCCGATGTTGGCGCTCTTAGAGAACTACGGCCCTACCAAAACTCCACAGAGTTTCTCATCGGTAAGCTGCCTTTTCAACGCTTCGTGCGAGAAGTCGCACAAGATTTGAAGAAAGTTATTTGTTTCCAGGCTGCTGCTATTGGCGCTTTGCAGGTTAGATTTTGCTCGCTGTGCAATATTTAGTCATAAGATGAATTATATTTTAATTGCAGGAAGCGAGTGAATCCTATTTGGTTGGATTATTCGAGGACGCAAACTTATGCGCCAAGCATGCCAAAAGGATAACAATCAAGCCTAAAGATATACAGTTGGCCCATCGCATCAGAGGCCAAAAAGAAAGAGATTAATTATTATTGTTCAGTTTTTTTTTTTTTTTGAAATTTTGAGTGTTGTAGTTTAAGTTTACATACCTAGTTAATGTTGATATTACGTTTTGTGTTAAAATTTAGTCGTATTGTCGTATCTAATAGTTATTTAAAAAAAAAAAAAAAGATATAACAAATATCCTTTCAAAGTAGGTAGTTAAAACAGCATTTCTCCAATGACTCTAGGTACCTAGATTCAGTTTAATGATTAGGAATTGAAGTTATGTCCAATTCTGTTAAATAAAGATTTATAACAATTAGAAAGCCCCTGAATTCTTCTGCAGAAATCACAAATTTTAAATGTCTCCAAAACTGATATATTTAAGCCAGCCGAAAGAGTGCACGTATGTAGACAAGAAATCTTTTGAGCTCATAGTCCCCAGTCACTTTCTTACTTATTACATACTAGTTTTCTAGGCGCAACTAAATATTACTTGAAAATTACTATATACTTAGTCAAAGACATAATGCTTCGAGTCAATTCGAAGATGCACCTTTAATTACAAAATCCCAGAAGGATAATGTTGGTTGTTGACGTAGTTGTACAATAATTAGAGGAAATTTCGTGCCGGTGTGTGATTCTCCGAGAGCGCGGGTTACCAGGCTTTAGACTCCGTCATTGTCATTTGTCAAACTCTTATCATGGCAATAAGGAGGAAATCAAAGAGAACGATAATCAAATTCCGGAAGAAATGAAAGAAATTCCCGCACAGGCTATGCTTAACTGATCGAAAGTGGGCCAGTAGGTACCTACGTTCTGGTATTGGTGTAATTCTTTTTGAGATTCATTTCTTGAAGCTATTATACGTACAAATGGTGTTATTTTTTTTTTCTGTGCAGGTTAGTTTAGATTAGCTCTAACTTCGTTTAAAATATCAACATACAAAGACTAACCCTTATCACGAATTACGGTGAAGCTCCGTCTGTCTGTTCCCCAGACTCTTGTGTTTAACGATAGCTGTGGAGGGTGGTCAAATTTTCAAGGTTTTTGTTTTTTTCCATGAGTTCTGCCATAATTCATATCAGTATGCCAAATTTCAGTTTTCTAGCATGTTTGGAAGTACCTTGGAATTTTGATGATCTATACATGAGTGAGTGACAAAATTGGCGTTTTTTTAAGGTCATGTAACTTTTTTGTTGGTTGATGGAAATCGATGAAATTTAATTTCAGTATTAGGTCTACAAAAATCTACGACTGTGCAAAATTTCAGTTTTCTAGGACACTTCAGAGCTGAGTTACAGGTAGGTCGAAAATAACCTTAAATGTTTCGAGTGTAACGAAGTTACAGAAATTTTCCGTTCACCCTCCGAACGTAAACACATTGCGAACTCCCTCTAGGCCAAACACATGATGGACAAGCTCTATGCCCCAACAGGCGTCCGCGTCGCCCAGCCGCCCTACTACTTTACCACCAAAGTAGGGACCGAACCCAGCGAGTCGAAAAAGATTTCGTAAAAGAGGAACTAGCTGACCGACCCCCGATTAGACTAGAAGTCCGAAAAATTATTTAAATACCTACGCAAAAGTGCTTTAAACTGTTGGTTGAAAGATGTGGGCTAAGAATCTCCGACTTTAGTCTATTCAGAACGAGATTACTAGCACAGCGTCTTCGACTTTCGAATTGCGTGAGGCACAATTAGTTCTAGTCAATGGAAATAGTTGTCCCGCACGTTTTTCGCCCTCTGATCTCTGAACCGAAATTTCACTGCAAATTATATTTGGGGCAATCAGTAACCGTCCAGTTGAATTTTTTTTTTACCGTCAGCTCAGAAAACCGAAAGTTGGCTTTTTAAATTGTTTCTAGAATTGATAAGATTTTTTTCCAGGAAACTGTTTCACTGATTTTCCCTTTATTCCAAACCCGTGGAAAAAGGCAAATATTTTATTTCCGAAATTGTTATTTAAATTTTATTGTGTCCATGAGTTTTGACTTTGATATTCCGACGTCCGCCAGCCGTTCTAATAGTCTTACGAGCTGCCTGAAGAGCCGATTTAATAAAGTCTTTGCTTCCTCTCCCACGATGCTTCATTTGCTTTCTCACATTAGAAACCACGTACGAACTGAAGGGTTTCAATTTTTTCGGTCGACCCATACCGAGTTTACGTTTAGCTTTCATTGCAGTAGTTATGAACCAAGCACCACTTTTTTCGCTAGCGTCTTTAGCCTTGACTCGTTCCCACGATTTATTCTCCAACACTTTATCAGCCCGATGTCTCTGTTGTAGATCCGGCTTTAGGGCGTATTCGATATCGTGTTCTCTACAGTAACTATCCAACTTGTTTTTCGGCTTATCGCCTCGTGTTAATCGCTGCTTCAATCTAGTTCCAGGACCACAGTAGGAGTATCCAGGTAAATGAGCTTCAAACGGAAGTTTGTTGATGGCGCTATTCAAAAGACCTGCACTCGGTGACGTATTCATTAAGAATGAAACCGAGCTAGAGTGAGCATCGTTTATATACGATGAGAATGAAAAAGCAGAAAATTAAAATTGAGATCAACAACTTTGACATAGAAAGGACAACGATTGAAAAGAGACATGGGGACCTTTTACCAAACACGATTAGAGCAATAATATGTGGATCAAGTGGTTCGGGGAAAACAAATGTTATGCTTAGTCTTTTAACCGATGAAAACGGTCTTAGATTCAGAAACGTCTATGTTTATTCCAAATCATTGAACCAGGATAAGTATAAGTTCCTAGAAGCGGTTTTAAAACGGGTTGCCGGTGTAAAATTTTACGGATACAGTGATAATGAAACCGTTGTAGAGCCGCAAACAGCTCAGTCAGATTCGGTGTTTATCTTTGACGATGTAGCCTGCGAGAAACAGAACAAGATAAGGAACTACTTTTGCATGGGCCGCCATAACGCTATTGACTGCTTCTATCTTTGCCAGACGTATTCGAAAATCCCGAAACAATTGGTTAGAGATAATGCTAACATGTTGGTACTTTTCAAGCAGGATGATACGAACTTGAAACATGTATATGACAATCATGTAAACACAGATATGTCTTTTGATACGTTCAAGCAAATATGTAGAGAGTGTTGGAAGGACAGATACGGATTTCTGGTTATTGTTAAGGATGACGATATTACGAAGGGTAGGTATCGATGCCAGTTCGATACCTATATATCTCCATAAAAGACAAGTACGCCTCAGTATCCGTTAGGGCATTGCTGTGTACACACCTCTGCAAAAGCTGTATCATAGCTGTCTCTGAACCTGTGTAGCACTATACAGATTATCTTAAAACCAATAGCAGACCAGTCTCTGGACCTGTGAAGCAGTCTAAAAGCTGTCTCCTGTCCTGCGTACAAGTATACAGGTCAGTCTAAAAGCTGACCAGTATAGCTGTATACAAGTCTGTATAAAAGCCGGTCATGTCTTCAGTTGATCATCATGAATCCAAGCGAAGTTGATAAAAATATTCAGAAAAAAATACTGAATGCTGCTAGATTTATAAGGAAAAAGTATTTGGCCTTAAAACTAGAGAGAAACGAGGAAGATGAGGCACTCAATAGGATAATGAACCCTTTAACAGACCCTCTAGAAGAGCTTGTTAAAAAAGCGGTTAATGGAAAAACCCGAATCAAACACGAAAAAATTAAGCAGGAAGCTCCTGAAACACACGTTAAATTTAAACCGAAAATTCTTGAAAATGTTGAGTTTCAGCCAACAGAGGTTCTTGCTCAAACAAGTGCGAATTTAAAAAGTGATGATGATGATGATGAGGATGTCTTTTATGAACCGTCGTTAGAAGGGTGGATCTACAGAAATCGATTCACGAAAGATCAGGAGCATATGAAGAATTTTTGGATCAGTATCCCAAGAGTATGTGGATAAATACTATAAAGATTCAGATGAAATAGATCATTCTTATGGCTTAAAACATGATATGAGAACTGACGATTGGTCTATGGGATTACAAAAAGTCAAATTTCTCTCGAGTGGAGATATCAAGGTGGGACCCGTTACTTATCGAGGAACACAGGGCCTATATGATCTACTGTTGCTACACAGTAAAATTTCGGAAAAAAACTCGTAAATATCAGAAACATGTTCCATTTAGTGCTGGATACTACCTCAAATGTGGGTATGATGATTCTCTATCGTATTTCAAAAGTTATCGAGGTGTAGACTGCATGCAATGGTTTGTTGAACAAATATCTCAAATGTCTAAATTTATTTATTCAAAATTCAAACATATTGTACCTCTTATTGCTAGTGAAACTATTAGCTTGTCGACACATTGTCATATTTGTGAGAAACCTTTCACAAACAGCGATAAGATTGTTCGTGATCATGATCATTTTACGGGGAAATTTCGTAATTTTGCGCACCAATCCTGCAACCTAAACTATCGTAAGCATTTTATAGTTCCAGTAGTTTTCCATAATCTCTCCGGCTACGATATTCATTTCGTAATCCGAGAGCTTGGTCACATGAGCGTCCTACCCGTGAACAAAAAAAAATACATTTCGATCACCTACAGGGAACCTAATAATGGGCTGCGTTTCAGATTCATTGATTCACTAAGATTTTTGGGTGCCTCTTTGGACAAACTTGTCTCCACGTTGAACAAAAAGGACTTGCTGATATTGAAAAAAGAATTTTCAGACTTGGAGCCGTCAAAATTTCAACTATTAACTCAGAAAGGTGTCTTTTGTTACGATTATATTAATAATTTTTCAGTATTAAACGAAACTTCTCTACCTTCCATCGATAAATTCTACAACAAGTTAAATGATGAACATTTAAGCGATGAAAAGTTCGCTCACGCCCAAAATGTCTGGCATTTGTTCAAAATTCAAAATTTAGGTGAATATTCTGATCTCTATTTGAAAACTGATATTTTACTTTTGGCCGATGTTTTTGAAAATTTTCGTAAAAACTGTATAGCTACACACAAACTAGATCCAGCGTGGTATCACAGCATGCCCGGTTATACTTGGGACAGCATGCTCCAATTTACAAAGT